AGTCATTGTTCACTTTTCTCATCTTGAAGGAGTCAAATCAAACTCTCGATGACTCATACTTACCTCTGAGGGTGTGGGGTTTGGGCGTGGGTGCGGGGTGTGGGTACATAAGAACTTTAATATTAACATCCACACCCATACCCATACCCACACCCTCAGGTGGGAGTGGGTGTGGGTGTGGGTATGGGTGTGGATGTTAATCTTAAAGTTCTTATGTACCCACACCCACACCCACGTCCACCACCCTCACCCACATCCACCACCCTCACCCACACTCGCCACATCCCCACCCCCACCCTCACACCCACACCCCCACACCCCACACCCACACCCACGCCCACACCCACATCCACACCCACCCACACCCTTTACTTTTTTCGTTGGCATATCTCACTCATTTCACACTTATCGCAGAAAATGTACCGAGAGATATGGCCAATGGTGATAGATGGGCACCATTGATGACTACGATCACAACATTCAAGTTCATGCTTACCTTTAGCCGAACGGCCTCCATGCGAAAGCCACTCGATCTTTCCTCGTTCTACACCAAATTTTGGCTCGTCGAGAAGAAATGGTATATAACACACGATTGGTGCATTGACACTCACTACGCGTTACTTTATTCGAACCCATATTGTCTTGACTGGTATCCATTTGTGCGTATGGTTGGCACGTTTGCGACTGAGTCAACTGATCCATCTCCGACTTCATTTGTTCACCTCAACGAACTCTGTGTTGATCACTACTCACGTGTAAACAATACGCTTTGGCGTCGATGCACACACGTCACTAATTTGTCAGTGTCAACAACATGCTTGAATCAAAATCTTAGATGTCAATATGCAACTAAGTTCTTGAACTTGACGAAAATCACTAGTTTATCCATCGATGCCATCGAGATAGAAACATCAATTGATGCGACTGTTCAACTAATGTATAATTTATCATCTTTGCGGTCACTCCGCGTGCCTATCACGATTCTCAAATTGCTTTTGACACATAATTGGCCTTGCATTGTTGATCTATGCATAGTATGGGGTTTCGATCGATTGCCGAAACTCTTGAATCAAACTGAGATTGATTCTCTTTGTCGCTCATTTAATCATGTCGAACAATTCGAATTTTCACGCTGCTTTGTTGATGATGTCTCACAACTTCTGAACAGTTTGATGATGACATTGTCACATGTAATCATTAATCACTTACCTCCAATCACACCTCATCATGATCGATTCATTTCGTATGAATGGCTCGTAAGGAATACGAAACTAAGCAATTTTGGTTACTCGTGTGGCAATAATAACAATGTTCATCTCTGGTTGTAGTGATGCTTTTTTTGTTACCCAAGCATCAATATAGACTCAGAATCGTTTGAAACTCTTTTTAATGACTGTGTCAATCATCTAATGTATAATATTTTCAAATACTCTAATGAATTTCATGTGTTCTTCATATTTTTTTGTTTTTACATTAAATAAAAATCAAAAGTCTCATTCTGTTAGAAAATTAATGGAAAATTGTATCTTTCTTCATCAATTTTTTACTTGAGATAAATATGGGCGTGAATGTTTGAATTGACTTTCTATATTCACAGCTTCAATATAGTAGGAAAGCTCAATCATTGATACTTTCAACCTTTCATTCTATTGATATAGTATACATGCAAAATCTCGTCGGTTTATGTAGAAAATTTTGAAGAACATATCAACTTTTTCATATATAACTTCAAAGACGAATGTCAATAAGATACTTTTGAATTTGAAAGAACTGGGTAACAATTTCGACTGCAGTTTAAGAATTAGACTTTAAGCGAATATTAAAAAAAAAGGTGCATTCTATTGATGATACGGAAAAAATCCTGGTTTTTGAATTGAAACTGAAAATGTTATTTTTTTACATTGTTAATGAATTTGACATCTACCAAGTATAATTTACTAGTCTCTTATTCAAAATAGGAGAAAAAAGGCCTCGATTAAGTTTCATTAGTAGTAGGGGAGGGAAGTTACCGTTAGGTTACCAGGTAACTGGTAACGGAAAAGTTACCAGTTACTGGGTAACGGGTAATGGAAAAGCTACCGTTACCGGGTAACTGGTAACGGGAGAAGTTACCCGTTACTTTTTTCCGGTAACTTTTCAAAAAGATGAATTACGACATCAATTCGATCGAATATTGCCACTACATCATTTAATAAAGTTACGAGTTATTTGGTAACTCCGAAATTGAAAAAATGATTTATTGACAATATTCGATCGAATAGAAGTTATAATTTGTCTTTTTGAAGTTACCCCGAAAAAGTAACGGGTAACTTCTTCCGTTACTAGTTACCTGGTAACGTAACTATTTGGTAACGGTAACTTCCCATCCCTAATTAGTAGTCGATTTATTCGTATTTATTAATTAATCATGATTTTTAAGGCAATCTGAATACATGCGATGACGCTCAAAATAGATCGTGCACTTCATGTAAGAATAGATGCAAAATTTGCAGTGAAAAAGGGTGTGGGTGTGGGTGTGGGTGTGGGTGTGGGTGTGGGTGGATGTGGGTTTTCGTGTGAATGTGCGTGCCCGTGTGAGTGTAGTTGCTGATCATCTGGATATCTACACCCAACACCTACAATCATACCCACATCCTATGTGAACATTATTTAGTTATGCATTTATTAATGATTATTGAACGAGTGTGTCGAAAACATAATATACCATTTTTATTAATTTATGGATCATTATTAGGCTCATATAGACAACGTGATGTTATTCCATGGGATGATGATATTGGTATAATGATACCTATTGAAGAACATACTCGTTTTATTAATATAATTAAACAAATGAGTAAGACATTAGTACAACATGATGTATTATCAAATAGAAATGGAAACCCAAGTTACTATAAAGTCTTTTTCAAAAATACTTCATCAGCTCAAAGATTGTCATGAAATTTTCCATTTATTGATATTTTCTTCTATGCTACCAATGAAACATATTTATGGAAAAACCCATCAGCCGTCTAGTATTACAAAAAAAAAGAATATGTTTTTCCATTAGTTATGAGATCATTCGGAGAATTATGGTTACCTACACTACGCAAACCTCAAGAAATTTTTAAGTTCGATCCATTTGATGATTGTAAAGGACATACTTGGAATCATCGAAATGAAATAGGGCAAAAAGAAATTTACTTTAAATGTAATGATCTTAAACATATTTATCCATTTGTTGAACGACAGAATCAATCAGATTCAATGAAAATTTTAAGAACAAATGACACTATCATTCATACTGTTTTTTTTATAACTAATATTTTTTTTTGTTTTCGATTCAATTATCAAGGAAAATTTTCATAAGAATAATATTCATAATTTCATTAATCTTAAAATTAGATTGCCATTGGAGGTAGGTGTAGATTGTCTTAAAAACATAAAGATGTTAAAACCACTGTTTGCTAAAGTTAAAATAATGATATCTTTCTATTTATTCAAGAATTTGTTTTCTTATTGGCTTATAATCATACTACTAGTCAAAGACAAATATAAAGGCAATAAATGTGAAGGGATGCAGTCGGATATGATATTTTCGATGTAAGTGGGTGTGAAAGAAATTTAAAATCAATTAGTATGAGACAGATATACGTACTAACGCTACACTAGTCTCTGTCACAGCGCTCTCAATTAATTCTCTTTTAAACAATAGAATATCGTATACTCTACTAAACAATTCGATTTAAATTATTCGCGTCTATTGTTTACGTTTTTTTTTGTCAGATATAGAATTCGTGAAGATACAATTTTCAAAAAATTATCTCAATCGTCAAGGGAAAACTACCCGAAGCCCTGGTTAAAGCTAAACAGATACACTGCAGTAAACCATTTAATAATTAAACGTTTTTTCTATCAAAATGATCACTTCTGGCTCAAAACCAAGAATCATAATGGCTAGTTCATATTATTCCACATAGAGAACGGCCGTGCATATTCGACTGACTACTTGACAATTCTATTTTCTTTGTTTGCAACTGCATAGACATATTTGATATCATCATTGCATATATGCATTACAACACCACTGCTTTGTGCAAAGCATGTTGACAATGATATTTAACAAGCTTGCATGTTACTTATTCGAAGAGGAACGTCAGATGTAGCTTAGTATCTATCAAGAAAAAGAAGAGTTTCAACGATACATATAACTAAATCATAAAGAAAGGGTAATTTCAGAGTCTAACTTGAAAACTTTCATCAACCGTTCTTTGAGAAACTAATTTTTTCTAAAGACATGCAATCATCTCATCAAACAGATTTTTTGATTTTTTGCTTCTCACTTGAAAAGGAATCTTCCTTATTTCAGTATCTTGTGACCGACGTTCGAATTCGATGTCTGTCACCGCTATTAGTATTTTGATAAGCAACATAAGAGCGAATCTCTACGAAATATAGACAAAAGAGAGTACCAATAAGGAAATGACGTATTTAAAAGGTCATATACACTACTATTTAAGAAAAATTGATTATCAAGCAGTTGCTGTACGACGATTGCAATATAATAGAAGCTGCGCAAAAATTATTGAAAAAAAAAGAAAAGGATCTCAAAATGGTTCATCAATTATTACGATGTATTTTTTTGCTTCGTCTTATTATTAATCATTTAACACCATTTTGAAATAAACTTGTCGTCTTATTTTGACCATAAGCATCAACATCATTTTGTTCTAATAGGAATAATTTATTATTTTTAGGCCGTGTCACTACACTAGTTGAGTAAAGAACGGAACATTTGAGTCTTTTGAGAGCTTGCTCTTGAAATTCTCCTGTCGCATAATTTTCAAAGTCTTTATATAGACATGAGCATTCGTGAAGACAAAAAAACTTGCTCACATTTAATAAATGACACTTAGTAAACCATAAACAAAACATTATCATCATATTTAATGCCAAAGATTAGCAAGTTAAGTCAAAAAAAAAATGTAGTATATATCATAGCCATTAAGTCAATATATTTAATAAATATGTTACTATCGGCAAAGAATAATCACTAAAACTCGTCTTCTACATTGAGTAATTTAGATCATCGAAAACAAACTACATATAATGAAATATGGTTGATGTGAAAAACAATTCGAATTCTATTGTGAATCTCTAACTAATGACAGAAGTTCGGATTATTCGTTAAACACTTTTTGAAATAGTTCTATAAAAAGCTTGTTAGAATTAATGGCTAAAAGCATAAGAAATCAGCATTGCATATTACTAATTAAAAAAGAATAAAACGTCTTATTATCGATTAAATACGTATAATAAAAGTCTTTTCATTATTTATATGGTCAACATTTCTCATAGCAGTACTCTGATTTAATCAAAGAGTATTTTGTATAGTGTCTTGATAGAGTTGCTTTGCAAGATAATATAAAATGAATTCCAGACTCTCCAATTGCTCCACAGTAGTTTTTTTCTATCATTCCTTCTTATTTTGTTATTACTAAATGTTGCCATGCTGATTGTTAGTGAAGTTGTTTTTGGATAGTATCTCTTTAATACTATCGTTCTTATCAATAACAGCCTAGCATATCGTGCTTTAAAAATGTTCGTGATGAGTTTGGTTCACGATTATCGGATGAATGAATGAACGAATTAAATAAAACAAACCGATTCATGATTTCCTCATCCTTATAATCTCATTGAGAAAACTTCGAAGAAATCTATTAGGATAAGCTTTTTAAAATTAAACTCATTTCTTCTTATGATTAATGTCTTTGGAAGGTACCGGAGCAATGCCTAGCCAAACGAACGAAACCTTCAATGTGTATTGCGACTCTGTATTTTTATAGAATAAGAATAGACTGTGATAAAATAATTAGCATAAATGACAGCAATACTTGAGAAAATAGAACTGAAGAACGTATGAAAGCAAAACTTTTGATATCAGGTCCAGGTTAATCCACATTTATAAGAGCATCATTCCATCAAGGTTCATTTCGTCATCAGACCAAAGAAGAAAAGATGAAATTTCGATTGTTAACAATGGCTTTGATACCCATCAGTTGTTTTCTCCTTGTCTCTTTTGTAATATTTTTGCAATAAAAAGATATGTGAAAGAATGTTGCAATAAATCAAAAAAAAAATACTGTTTAATGCAGCTCTCGAAACTATATCATTTAATATACCTATGACATACTTAATTTAAAACTTATGGCATAGCTTGACAAGAACGAAAGTACTTGCAGAAGAAGTCTGTTGGAAAACAATGTGGATCGGTTGTAGTAGTCACACCAGTAATTTAAAGTTCTTTTTTGCATAGCAAACGATGCAATTTTATGAGCTGCATTTGACGATATACTGAAGTATTTGTAACGACTTATTAAAAGTCTTATTTTGCTCGAAAAATGTGTTTAAAAGTATGTTGGTCCCGATCATATGATCCGCCTCAGTTGAGTCGACGTTATAGAACGAATATTACCCTATCTTGAGATATAAAATTATATAAGGGTCTATGAAGTTTTCAAAAAGTTCTGAACCAAATATTTAAAGTTTCGTTGTTTGCCTGTCTTTTGAGTGTCATAAATGTCAATGCCAGTCAACTATTTACGTTAATCGATTTCTTGTCTGTTAACTGGTAGAAATATTCTTTTCTCAAATGATCGGCATTCTCGAGTTATTTAAACAAGTCACAAATTTCATAACAATCTCTTCTGTTTTATTCTTCAACTTCGGTGTTTTACTTTCAAATAAAGATGTACGCGTACTTCTTTGTACTGTCGTACTTCTTACGTACAGAAGTACGCTTTTTCTTCCTTGCTTACCACGCTAGATCTTTAGCAATCATATTGGAGAAGATCTTGAGACATGAGTGGAAGAACTGATTGAGCATAATGAGAAGTCGAAATGGAAGCATTAACGGGATGAATACAGGAAGAGCATGTACATCAACGATTTTGGTTTTATTTTACTTTCGCCACGATGATCAAAATAAAATTGAGACTTTTCAATATATGTTTTAAACTCATGTGAAGCATTGCTCCTATTAGAGTCAATGAGAATAAAGTCATTCGAGGCAAGTACTCTTTACTTTGAGATGACTCTATGGCTGTAGTACTTAGTGTATTGAAAATATTTTAAATACATAAAGATGAGCAATCGGCGTTAAAATCGAAAAGTCGTATAAAAACCACTTGAACGGTTTAGTAGCAGTTAGTATTTTACGGAATATTATCTATAGGTATAGATGGGTGAGTGCGATATTCCTTCTATTCCTATAAACCCACATCCATCCCCGCACCTCGGTTACTAATGAACAGAAAAGAGAAAGATCTCATACTTCGTAGAGTGTCAAAAAAGAATCAATCCACTTCATTGTCACATATTTTACTGTTTCAGTTAACTCATATGTGTACTGTTTGCGAATAACGAAGTAACAAGACTAGAGGGTGTTTTTTTTTGTCAATAGAATTAGTGGTCTGCGGAGGAGAAGCAAAATTTAATTGAAGTATAGGTTTCTGTCTGAAAAAAACCATATTCGAATAAGATACACTTGACGTTCTCTTTCCATTGACGCAGAGAAATCCGATAAACAACTACAAAACGGTGCACCCTATTGTTAATTGGGTTCTTTCAACTTCCAACATACAACGATGAGTCAATAATCAGGTGAAGTATAACTCATTAGGAATGATTGATAATGATTTTGTAAAGAATAACAATTTTATGCACATTATGCAGAGTAATTAATAATAGTATTAACGTGTACTTTAGCATATTCATATTTTGTTATAGTTTGTTGTCATTCTATCGAAATCTGAGTAAGTATCTGCTTTGACAAAATGATCCATATAGGACACTTATCTTTATAGTATATTATTGTTGGAGTGAAATTTTCATTATCAGTTGGCAGATAAATATTTTGTTTTTTGATGGAGCAATAAGCAAGTCGAAAGGAGAATCTGTTCGAACTTCATACATGTAATTAGAGTTAGATCCGTTCGATAATATCCCAAATGGTAATTCCATGCGGAAAAGAGATAAATATGATGGGTTTCTGCAATCGCATTTCATCTTGATACTTTTCTAGCATAGGATATAAATTGAAATCTTTTTTTAACATTTAAAGAAAAAACAAAGTTTGCATGAGAAGGAAATATCATATATTAGATTTTAGTAGTCTTAATGTATCATTATCTGAGAAAAAGTCATCTGCGCAATTAGCAGAAGCTATGTTAAATATTTATAAGAACAAAGAACATAAAGTTGGAAAAAATCAAGGAAGTATAGAAGAATAGTTTCTCTGAGAACGTTCTGGATTATATTATACAAAAGCAATTAAACTAGAACTTTTAGGGTGACAATATTTCTGATCA